AGACTGCTCGGAAGCAAACTCCGGGCAAAACATAGCCCTCTCCGTGAACATGCAGGTGATCTCCATCACCGACTCTCCATCCTGCCTCAATGTCAAAAACTCATGAGCAAGCCGCTCCCGCTCCACGCGTGGAACGTAGCGGGTGCGAAACATATCCCTGAACTGCTCCCAAGTAATAGCAGCTCTCTGATCATCGGTGTACGACCCAGTCGTCAGTCTCCACCAGTCCTTGGCCCCAAGCCTCAACAGGTTCAGGGCACACCTGACCTTCTGGTCAGTAGGACAAGAGCACGTGAAGAAACAGCCCTCCACGTCAGATAACCACCTCATAGCCCTGATCGCATCCTGTGTACCATAAAACATCGGGGGCTTCATATTATCTAAGTCCCGGTACTGGAAAGCCCGGCTGGCTCCTCCTCCAGCCCATGCCGATGTTACAGCCGACGTGGCTGCAGCGGCAGCCGTCTCTACTAAGGCTGCATAACGCTCATCAAAGTACTCGACCATAGCGGTCTTGATCGATCCAAACATCTCTGGTAGTTGCGCTCGGAACGCAGCAGCAATCTCATAATGCATGATCTCCCGAATCTTGGCATCCAACTCCTCTGTCCCTATCTGCACCATGGGCTCAGGTGCTATAGGCTCATCCGGGCCTCCGCCCCCTGATCCTGATCCTGATCCTGATTCGGTCGTAAAACGTCTCGTCATCACCATACTGAAAATATGCCCAAGACGTCAGATAAACAACATAATATCGGGAGACCAATTCCCACAAACACTAGGGGTTGTGACTTCCTTGCTACGCGTATGGGTCCTGTGCTTCCAGTAGTATGGGCCCATACTACCTTCCACACCTACCCATATTTGTCTCAAGTATCACCACAACGCCCTAACAATAGACATCACCATAGCAAGCGCTCAACCCTCACTCCTAGAGGAATGTGAAACTATCTCACAACTGGCCTCACGGCTTCTCCCGACCCATCCATCCATGAAACTTCCACCAACCCTGCAGCATTAGTGTATGCTAGCCACACATAACGTTGGACCCGATAGACTTTCGAATATCCAATCCTACCCTAAGGTCGAATCAAACATTCTCAGGCTATAAGATCTTGATTATGCACAGCCGTGATGCTTACACTAAACAGCTACAGTAATGATGTCAATTCCATATAAAAGAAACCCTAGGCTAGTAGGCATCATATAATCAGACAAGTCTATCATGCAATTCCTGAAGATCCCTAGCCTAACGCTAGCATGCTATTCTAACAGATCATAATATCAAATAACTGTATGGTATTTTGGGGTCTACTTACTGGCTCCGGCTGATCGTACACTCTGCATCCTCCATCGCTTATTTTGAAAACCACTTTAGAATTTATTCTAAAAATTTTCCTTGATTTGAGATTGGATTCACACGAGTGTTCCTCCAATTCACTCAAACCAAGGCTCTGATACCAACTTCTAACATCCCAAAAATTTTAAGCCAAATTTAAACTTTTTCAACCATAAAACCAAATAGTGTTTTACAAAAATGTTTTCAAAATATTATTCATCAGAGTGTCCCAAAAGTATAATCATATGGATGAGGAGTAGTACGGTCAAGCCTTCGCCTTGCCACGATCTCCGGAAGTACCTGAAACAATAAACTGAAACTGTAAGCCCGAGGGCTTAGTGAGCTACCCCCAAAATACCAATACCACACCGATAATACCATATCAATAACAGATAATCAACAACATGCATATTGGGCCTTCGGCCTGACTGGACCGCCCAACCGGGCCTTCAGTCTATCTGGATCTATCCCGAGCCTTCGGTATGACTGGACCACCATACGGGTCCACAGTCTACCCGGACCGCTCGTAGGGTATGTTGGCCTTCAGCACAAAGCAGGACCGCCTCAACCCAAACATCAAGCAAAACCATGTGCACAAGACTAACATATGCTAGCATATACATACATCAGATATAACTATCTCCCATATCATCGATCATAGCCATCTCTCCTAACCAGAGCACCGACCTAACCAGGTCACTAACATACCAATCCTAACGGATCATAAGAGCATAACAACATATTGTCTATCCTGTTACCGATCTAACAGATCATAACCACATGTAGCATACTGTAACAAGATAACAACTAAAATGGTCGGCCTTGGTGCCTTAGACCCTATTGATATAGTGAGGATAACTCACCTTGCTAGTAGCTCGGAATGATACTGTCCACACCTCCCGATATAGCTCTAACCACCTCGCCTGTACCCATCAGTGGTCCACTCAATAATTACTCAAATTACCAAAATGCCCTTAGGAGGTACAAGACATCCCACAATTAAGTCAAGTCTCTGGTCCATGGTTAACAGTCCATGTTGACCTGTTTGCTGAATATAACTTTCTCTGCTTCGAGCCCCTCTTGATTCTAGAATTTCTCGACTCGACTCGCCGAGTCTCTAGCAGACTCGCCGAGTCCCCATGCCGACTCGCCGAGTTTACTCATTAAATGACGTGTCCTGACCCGCTGCTACTCGATGAGTCACAACGTCAACTCGTCGAGTAGACCTTAACACATGAAATCTAAATGGAATAATAATGATACCTGACGGTTGGGATGCTACAATTGTCACGTAAATATCATTGCATAAAGAAGATTTCACTTCTGGAAGGCTGTATAGATTCCAATCTATTAGAGATAATATTACATAGGTACAACCTTCCTAGAAAGCTATGTAGATTCCTATAATTAAGGATTCTTGGTTCAAAGTGGCAAGGAGTGGCAGTTGTTGATGAGGTCTAATTTTCTCGTGCAGTTTAGGAAAATTACGGTCATCTAATTTAGGATTCAAAAGCAGTTACAACACCAAGTAACCTTCATGAAGATTGGGTACTGCCCCTTTTGAAACAGGTGTAAGGAAACTGTTCAATTTCTCATTGAAGGTTGGTATAATCTGAGGGGTTATAGTAGTTCTCTATTTAACTCCTATATAAATTAAGCCATTTTTTGCATTATCATTGCTATCGGCTTATTACCTTGACAACATTTTATAGGAAATAGAAAGAAAGCAAAGAAACATATAGGATAACTTCTTGTGCTGTCAAAAGTGGGAGTTAATTAAATAATCCATACTAACTAAAAATTAATAAAGACATTTACCAAACCATGAAATATAATCTCTCAGGTGCTTTTATAAAGGAATATCAAGTGCCCTTCTATACCCTTAAAAAAATGCAATCAGGTAGGTTTTTTTGAAGAAAAATACTGCCCATTTTATGTCCTGGAATTTCAGTGGTCAACAATTTACGAGCAACCAATGACGAAAAACTCTCAATAATCTATTTGAATAATCTATTTTCTAATGTTGTAGTAGGTAAAAATACTTAGAATTGACATTATGTTTTGGCAAAAAAGATATTGAAATTACAACCTAGAACATCAATGTTAATCCTGAACGGAAACCTCTAAAATAAAATCGAGTTTGCGAGATTGGAGAAAAAAGGAAAATTTCGAATAGATTTTATCGGGGCAACAAAATCTGGCCATTAGATTAACAGTAAGAAGTTAAAAAACTTGAAATCAAATTAGGGTTCTTATAGATAACATACCAATGGGAAGAAGATCACAATTTTTTCGTTCTTCTTTGATTGCAACTAAAACATTTGCGGTCAACAATCATGAAATTTTTTTGTTGATCACATAATCAAGGTTTTCCGATTGGCTTTTTGTTGGAGAGGAACCGGTAAATTGCGAAAGGAAGGTGTTCAAGGGATACGACGATCATGAAAATATAATCGACATTTTAGAAGGATTTAAGCGACATGTTTTTATGTTGCGTCCTTCCAGGACTAGGTTATGTGGAGGTAATTGAACCCTATGAATTTTTTCTAAACGACACCGGATAAAAAGGTTTTTTATATATAATAATGATATATATATATATATATATTGGAAACGACAAACGAATTAAGTGGAAACCTACTCGTAATATTTCAACGAGCACTCCGTGTTCGGGCTCCTTTATAGGGCAAACCCAGCCCTCATAGGGATTTTCAGGGAAAAATTCTCCACATATGACACCACAAGAGATAGTTTAAGGGAATCGAACTCTTAACCCCACGCCCCACATGAGTATAAAATCTGGTGCATCAACCCAGCTAGGTTGGACATCACTTGCTATATATATATAATATAATATTATATATATATATATATATATATCCGGTAAGAAGGAAATTTTTGGTAGGAAGGTAAGATGTTTTTTTTCTATATATTTTTTGACGAACAAAATAAATGAATCACTAGATGATTCACAAGAAAAAATTTCCAAAAAAACATCTTTATGATTCATTTTGAAGTAATTAAGAAAAATTCACTTTTATGACATTTTAGTGAATAACAAACAAAATCATTGTATAAATGAATCATCGAGATGTTTTTTTGAGAATTTTTTCTTGTGAATCATCTTACAAATGAATCATCTAATGATTCATTTTGTTTGTTCGCGAAAAAAATATGTAGAAAAAAAACTTCTTACCTTCCTATCAAAAATTTCCTTCTTATTTGATCTTGACTCTATTATAATATATATTATATGATATATATATATATATATATATATAATATATATATATATATATATATAGGGAGAGAGAGAGAGCGAGGTTCAAGTATTCTAAGTAATTATTGTGTGGATGTAGCAATCAATGTGAGTGAATCATTTCAAAAATCTGATTAGGGATATAATAGTAATCTTGGCTACACTTAATCATCGTAAACATTTAAAATCCTTTAAATTAGGGATTTAGTTTCTCAACCTTTCAAAACCACGGATCCCTTATCACCATCATCACACGTCGTCGCCCGATTTAAGGATTTATAATGAAAAACTCGATTTCATGATTCTTTTTTCTTTCTTCTACCCACTGATCTCCTGCACCATCATCTTCATCGGCATGATTGCGTGAATTCTAATCGATTTACAATCAGCTCCAGATCTCCCATGATCTATTATTACACAGAAACTCGTGAACTCCTTAATCTCGAAGATTCATCCCTATATGACGCCGTTAATGAAGGCGCTGATGTTTTGGATCAACGACAACCGCTTCAAATCGTCAGCCAGCTCGGCGAGGAGGTTTTGCATACGTCTTCCCTTGTTAGGAAGGCCTTCACTGAAGCTTCAGCCGGTAGCGCCTCTAAGAAGTTCAAAGACCCCTCTCACATCTCCGGTAAATAGAAATCCCCGATTTAAGATTCCATTTTAGGGTCTCAAAGTATCTGCATTGCATCTGTTTATTTCATTGTAGTTACGAATTAATTTGATCTCCAGAGGATGCACATATGCGATGAAGAAAGTTTTGAGTCAAAATAATGATCAACTGGAGCTCGTGATTGAAGAGATTCATGGTATCTTCCCTGTTTAGGCCACCCGGATCTGATTCCATTATTGGATCATGCCATTATTCTATTAAAGGTAGCTTTTTTCTATCCACAATCAGATCAGTGATCGTATAAAATCATCTATTTTCATTTCACCTAATCAAATTTGTTGAGTGTGATTGAGCAAATAATTTTTGTTTGTTTGTTAATATGAGGCTATTCTATTGGGCAGGCCACATCAGAACAACCTTGGACACATGAAGCATACTTATTGTTTCCACTCATCTGGATGGGATTTTTTTGGACAATTCAACAACAATGAAATCTAAAAAACAATTTTTTGTTTACATCTGATGTCTCCATATTTTCCGACAGTAACTTTCAACCACGACTTCTCACTCCCTGTTTCATGTACTACCGGACAAGTATTCTAGTTTATTAAATTTTGATGTTGTTTTCCACTTGTTTTGGAGTGGGGACAAAAAACTGTAATTAATTTGATTGTTCATTTTTTTTTCATCTTCTTTGATTTTAAAACACTTTCTAGGTTAGATTTGGATTTGGGGTTTCTTGAACTCTATATGTTTGATATGTTTCTTTATGTCTACAATTTTGTATGGTACTATCCAAGTGGTAATTTGGTAACTTAGTGATCATGACATATGTAAAAAAAAAATTGAACCTATTTTACTATCTAGTCATGTAGCAACATGTTTCATAATAACTATCTAGTCATGTAGCAACATGTTTCATTTATTATGTTATTGTAGTTGAAGATGGCAATTTTTTCATTTTCCTTGTATTTTGGAACAATGATATTAAAATTCAACATTACATTGTTTTATTTTGGTTTGCATATTAAATATCTCAACAAAATTTTATGATTCCAACTAGAAATTCTCATGCTTAAGCAAATTGTAATTTTTTTTTGTGTACAGGCATTGCTGAAGCAGTGGAAGAAGGTGTATAAATTCTTATAAAGCTATAAATGCTGAAAGAAATCAGCAAGTAGAAAAAAGAAGCTTGGTGAAGAATGAAAACTCGGGTTGAAGCCTGGTGGTTGGAAGATGAAAAGTGAGGCAACAATATTCGTTCATAATGGATTATCATTTTTTTTCTGTCAGAATGATCAGCAACAATAATCTATTAGAATGTATTATATTTTACTTAGATTTCAATTTTTAATTTGATTTTAACCATTCTCGGCTTTTATTCTTAAAGAATAAATGTAATTGTTAACCATTATTACTTAGATTCTTCAGAATGAATGTCATTTATGTATGTTCATAGTTGTAATTTGTTAAGAATGAATGTAATTACTGATTTTTAAATATTAAAATTCTTTCATATAAAATTTGTATTCATTAAAAATTATTATTTTGATCATATAATGTTTATAGTATTTGTGTTAGAATTTAATATTTTTTCAAGATAATCATAAACACATTCTTTTAGAATGTTCGATTAAATATATTTATTATCCAAAAAATCTGATTTTTAAAGTTTAGAGAATTAATTATTCCTTAAAATATGCAATTTTTCTTTAAAAATGTATTTTAATTGACTAAAGTAATCTTAAAAATGAAATTAGATGGTATTTTTAATATCTTTAATTTACTATTATGTATTATCACTTCTTAAATAAGTAAAAGATTGGCCCACAATCATTCCTACATCCAACAACAATTAGTTAGAATATACAATAACCTAAGCGTGTATATATATATATATATATAATATATATATATATAGCATATATATAATAGATAGATATATGTGTGTGTTGTGTGTATATATATATATATATATATATATATATATGTGTGTGGTGTGTATATATATATATATATATAATATATATATATATATATATATATATATAGAATAAGATAAAAAAAACTTGTTCTTTAGGAACAGTGTTTGTTTTTCATTGGTTGTTTTTTTAATTCTATCCATCTTTTTTCTGTGGCTGGGGTAGTCAATGTTTGTTGCGTGTCCTGGTCTTGCGAAGAGATGAAACGTGTTATCGAGTTACCTTGTAACAGAGGTTTTACTTCCGATCCTTCCACCACCGCTCACTTTTATCTTGCCCTGTCCATCCACCGTCTTCCTTTTATATCTGTTGCTCCAGTTCCATCCAAACACAGTTCCCTTTGTATCCTTCAAGCCAAGATTTCTTATGCGCTTCCAGTCAGAGGTAGAGGGAAACGACGGATGCTCCTCATCGCCCGTCGATGCTTCCTCGAGTTTTGGATGTGCTCCACAAAATGTTTTTCTTATTTTCTAGGGTTTTTTGTACCACCACCGGAGCACCATCGAAGCAACTCACCACCATCTCACACAATCATCGCATGTCGCGTTCCTGCCCGGACCGACAACGAGACTACCAAATTTCTCAACAACGAATCCTAAACCTTACTTCACAGAAGAAATTGACCAGGTTTGTTTTTTATTTTTTTGGTTTTTCTTTTCTTTTCGTCTCTCACCACGTTCCAGATTGACCACCGAACAACCACCTTTCCATTTGTTTTGTTAAAACACAAACTCTATAATTTAGAGTCTTTATGATTTATGCAATTTCTTATGTT